ACTCAATTTTATAGAAGTCTGATCAATACAAAACATACTTTGCTTTTTCCCTCTTCCCCTAGCCTAATAAGTGATCAAATATTTCTTGGAGTTTATGGACTGTTTTTGACTGCTTTTTACAAAATTTTTTAAATTGAGATTTATATGCATTAAGTCATGGACCATGTTATGATTTACTATTAAATGTTTTAAGGACGTAATCTAGAATTTGTTGAAGTAACTGCTGACACTTTCATTGAGTTTATGATGTGGTGGGCCCCATTGTAGTAGACACTGTTCAAATATCAAACACATACAGATACCATTCCTTCTTCAAAGATCTTACTTGAATGGCTCACAAATCAAGTCTTAAAAGGTCAAAGCCACTTCAAAATATATGCATATACAAGGTATCTTTAATAAATTTGTTTTTAATTCTTTTTATAACTCCAAAATGGCCAGATTTTTAAGTCATTTAAAAACAAAACCTAATTAATGGCTATACTAAATAACATTTACAAATGTTTATAAAAGAACCACAGAATGTTGTATTATAAGGTTAACACATATTTTCAAAAATATGTTGTTTTAACTGCTCCTAAATATCAGTACATCTTGGACCATTAAAAATTATCTGCAAAGGTGTATATGGGACAAAGGTGTATGCTTGATTAAAAACAGTCAGATTCTCTGTTGTGAGTCTAGAAGCAAAAGTTCCAGTAGCCTATCTGGGGTGGCCTGGTATCTTTGCAGTGCTGTGGAATGCCTCTAGCATCCCTCTCCCAACACATGCCCCATTTTAAGGGTCATTAGGAGTTCCTCATCTGCTGTACCCCGATGGGGGAAAATTCTCCAGCCACAGGGCTTTTAGAGCTCCTTTATGCTGCTCTGGCTCTTATCTGGTTTAAAGGGTCTGAAATCTCACATGTGTGGTATATAATAAACATACGCTGAGACATTAAAATGTTTCACTACAACAGTAGGGAAGACTAGATTTAACATTTCTAATATAGCTGGGGTAAAAACAATCAAAACAAAAAGTTAAACAGGTACAAAGTCTTCATATTTTAAAAAGTCCTTTATCTCTCCTAACAAAATAATTAAAAAAATCCTCTCATCTACTTTTGTTTATGGAGTTTAGTTTTTGAACTGCACTTGTTACAGGTCATAGAATTACTATGATAAGGCGTTCTAACTTTGCTGGAATTGTTTATCATAGTTTTATTACTAGTCAATAGTGAGAAGTTAATGTTTGCAGGATTGGGCTATGCTTGTTAGTTTCACTTTCTATTCTCCTTCACTAATAAGAACAGTTATGCAGTGCTTGGATATCAGTGCAGGAAGAGGTTTAAATGAAAGCAAGACATGTCTTTCCACAACAATGAAACTTTAAAATTAGTTTTGTTTTTAAAAAGTAGAGTTTTACAAAATTAAGGTATTGTACCAGCAGCCACTGCCAGAAGAGCTTGCATTCCCTGATCTGTAAGTTCCAGGCACTCAGCATTCCACAAAATCTATCCCTGACTTTGTTGTTCCTTCATTACAATTTGAATAACAGCCCATGTTATTAGGTAAATGGCATATTACTACCTATATGTCTTAGTGAAGAAAAGTTATTGTAACAATAATAAAATGATAAAATGAATTGGAAGCATTCAGGTCAGACAGTTTTTCTTTGTTAAATTGCTGTTAAATTGTTAAAATAGGATTGTTGCTTCTAAATGACCATTGGTGTACTTACAAATAAAGCAGCCACCTTGTTAATAGTATGAAATATTGAACTCTGAGTGATTATTTTGTTAAAATGCTCATTGAGTGAGAGCTGATTACAACTGATTTACCACACATCTTTTTCAGAGGTTTTTGTGAATAATAAGTATGGTAGATTTTGATCTGATTTAATTGATGTGCATATATTATAGCAGCGTTTCCCAAAGTGTGGTCTGTGGCCTAGTACCAGTCCTTAGAAAAGAAATAGCAGTCCTTAGAAAAATTATCACGCATGATCCTATTAATTTGTGTGACGGGGTGTCAGCACCCCGCATTGCCGAGTGCGGCGGTGTGGCCCTTTTGGGAGAGAGCCCTCCGTCATGGTGTCTCTGCTGGGCATGCTTCCGGGTGGTGGGACCAGATCTGGCGGGTGCTAGGACCCAGGGAGAAGGCCGGGTGCGATGCACACTGACGCAGAACGCCTGGCGCTGGATGCAGCCGGGGAGCCGGCACTGGCAGATAAAGCGGACGGGATTGGGACCAGGAGTGGGAGGTAAAACAACCCACCAGATAGGTAGGGCAAGTGACACAATTCATTTGCATATTCATCATTTGCTTAATGAATATGCAAATAAACATTACCGGTCCTCCAAAATCTTGTGAATGGGTTTACTGGTCCCCAGTATCAAAACGATTGGGAACCCCTGTATTATAGCCTTCAAAGCTGTAGGTAAAAAGGATTAAGCTGACCATGAAAGACTGTTGATACAATAGGAGCATTAACTGCAGTGTTTGATTTTTCATATAGCAGAAGTGAAAGTGATTATGTCCAGTTGCTCAAGAAATGTGTAGCTTTTTTCATCACTTAGCTTTGGAGACTTTTTTTAAAAAAAGACTCTGGTCTCAAAGTGATTTTATAGCTGTGAAGTTGAAATAATACAATTTGATGCTTAGCTATTGAATAGTAATCACTAATTGGGGAGCACGCTCCTTTTTTGGGGGGATGAAAGTCCTGGTTCTTCTTTCCCTCTTCTCCCCATGCTTATTTGTAGGGTAGTGGTTGTGAATGCTTTCCATACTTCTGAGTAGCAGATCACAGGTTTCTTAATGTTACTATCAGAAATTACTATCTGAACTATAAATGTCGGTAATTGCTTATTTTCAAAAGAAGGGTTTTTTTTAACATTGGGAAGCTAGAACCATTTTGTATCAAGTGTTTGTCTAAACTGGCAAATTTTGTTGCCAAAAACTGCCTTATGGCAACAAAACAGTGAGAACATTTACTCTACAATGTGACTTTTGTTGGGAAAAATACCCAGTTTTGGCGACAAACTTCCAGTCTTATGAGAGTCTGTCTTTCCCCTTTCTTTTATTGTTGAAAAAGAACCAGCGTGGACACTTTGTTTTGTCGAGAGAACTGGCTTCCACCAGTATCCATCAATGCCTGCCCCGATTCCTGTGCTCAGTGTTTTGTGATCTCTGCTGCCCTACAAGCATGCACACTTTCAAAGCTCCAGGGAAGTATCTGACAGCTGAGAGAGCTGCTCTGTTTGGGAGGACTTGTTAGTACAGCAAACCTTGCAACCAATCATGTTAAGTCCTGTTCCTGAAGTTAAATAACCTAACACCAGAGTAGTCTTATTAAAGTAAATATCAATATTTTATGTTGCTACATTGGGGGAAGGATCTGATCTTAAGATTGTTGAAAAGATAAATAGGGGTCTGGTATTATGACGAGAAGAATGTGATAGGTATTGTGAATTCTGTCCTGTGCACTACAAGTCTGCTTTTTGAAGATGTTGTTGCATGCAAAAAAAAAAAAAAAAAAAAAAAAAAACACAAATTAAACCCCTAGATATAATTTTTAAAATTACACCAATATTATTAATATAGTGAATTTTATTTGCCTTCTGACTCTTGAAAACTTTTCTTTGCAAAGCTGAGGGTTGAAACTTTATTTAATGAAAGAAATCTAGTTTTCTCACATGAAATGAATTGAAGATTTGGGGAAAAATACCAGTGCTGTCAGAGTTGGCAACACTTATTTTCATTTCTCATGTTAGCTATTCTGGTTGAGGATAGAGAATCTATATGGAATTGTACTAGCTTATGGTATGAAGTAATTGGAATTGGAGTAACAGAATGATCAGATAAATACTGGAAATAAGCATCAGACATGAATTTGTATCCATAAATCATGTTTTTAAGCAACAATATCCATATACAAACTCTAATATTCTGGTTTTTGGTGATGCAAACCATTGACTTTCTATGCCTTAAGTAAAACAATCCCACTTGTACAGTTGGTCATTAAATTAATTGCATCTGAGATAGGTTATGCTGAATAAAATGCTTCTTTTAATATTTTCTGTATTCATTTTCTACTTCACCTTACTCATTTCAATACAGTATACAAATGTCTCAGCATGGCAGGTTTCAAGAAGAGTGACATACTTCAGATGTTCTTAATTTTAAACACTTTTCTATTTTTTTTTAAGTGTCAGACTAATCTTCCTCAATGCATTTTTTTCCAAGAAATATATTTGGTTCTTATATTTTGGAGCAGAATAATACATTTAGCAGATGGTTTTCAGAGACCACACAGATGTAAGGGCTTGATCCTAAAGCCTATTGAAGTTGGGGACCTGTGAATGACTTTATTCATCTAGATTTAGTGCAGACTTTGTGAGTTAATCCTTGTAGTGTGATACTATGCATATGGTTCGGTAGGTCCTTCATTACATAGTCTGTAAATATAGATTGTTGCTGGAAAATATATAAGTATTCTTGTGAAATGTAGTCTGTTCCAACTGGATTAATTTGTTTTTGGTGCACTTTTAGACTGTAAAGAGTGTGTGTGAATTATATTACGAAAAATCTAATTTATACACATTCTTATTTTTAGGGCTCGACAAATTATACAGTCCACTCGCCTATGGCAAGTAGATTGTAACCTGGAAGAGCCGGGTTCCAGCAGTCTGCGCATGCGCAGATTGCTGGACAGTGCGGCTGGCAAGCGGGGCTTGCCGCGGTTTGGCGAGCCCTGCTTATTTTTGGTGAGTAGCAAATGCTATTGTTCAATTTGCTTGTGATTTCTTCTATTATCCTTTTTTTTGAGCAGGCATATGAGATTATGGAAAGTTCATCTTTTTGGACAAAACTTTCCATGCTTGGTTTCTAAAAGTTTTACCTTTTTCTTTTTAAATTTCAGGTAAAATGGGATATTGCTATGTTACTTCTAAGCTATCAAGTTAAAGGTTAAAATCGGTATGATACATAGTGCATAAATGCACCGTTTGAGAAATACATACATTTCAAACATGCAGTTGTCCATGACATCTCTTGCTCTCCTCCTTATCTGAAAGTGCCCTGTGAAGTCCCCTAGTCCTTTCAGCCACAGAAGATGGTCCCGAGTTTACTCTTTAGCCCCTCTCAATCCATCTGGGAGATTTCAGTAGGGTTTTTCTCTCTTGTTGACCTCATGGTGACACAGCTGCATTTCTTCTAAGTGATGTAGAAACACCTCGTGTAAATGACACAGCTAAGGACAGACTGTCCTGTTTCAACACTAGGAATGTAAATGAGTAGTCAACTATATGATTAGCCAATAAGTCTAGGCTTATTAGTTAATCTAGTTGGCTACTAACCCCCCTCCCCACACTTGCTGTCTCTGGATCAGAGGCAACAACAGGGGGGGAAGCAAGAGCCACCTGTCCCCCCCCCTGCACTGCTGCCTCTATAAGGGAGGGGGATTTGAGCTCCCCGCAGACAGAGGCTGCAGCAGTCTCTGTCTGCAGGAAGCTGGGACCCCTTGCAATCGGGCTGCTGCTGGGCCAGCCTCTGTCTGTGGCAGGCCTAAGTTGGCCAAGGACAGAGTCTGCTCTGCAGCTGCCTTCTTCATTCCTCTCCCCATAGCAGCTTCTGTCTGTGGGAAGCTCATAACCTCTCCTGTGTACAAGGGCTGCTGCCATCTCACATTGCTGCCTTTGTATCAGAGGCAGCAGCATGGGGTGGTAGGCAACCATTCTGCTTGGGGAGCTGTTTTTTTAAACTGGTTTCCCTCCGAGACCAGCTCCTGCCTGGCACCCCATGCTGCTTCCTCTGATACAGAGGCAGCAGTGCTGCGTGGCAAAGAGCTCTTTCGGAGAGGGCCCACATTGTACTGGCTGCTGCCCCCTCCATTCTGGGGACTATAGAATAGCTGACAAACATATAAATTCATGTGGTTACTTGATTATTCAGTTACACAATATCTAACATCCCTATTCAACACATCATAGTAATCTTAATTCTGACCTTTAAATTGAGATTTGTGCTCTTTCTTCGTACTCCACAATTTTGAGTTAGTAAATAAAAACAAATGTGATGCTTTAAGAGAAAATAGTCTATAAGTAATTGTTTTTAATTTAGAAAAAAAATTAAGTAGCTTTGGGATTATTTCCAAATTGCATTACACTTTCCTTCTCTTTATAGTCTCACTCCTTTTTCCAGTATTATTTTTTCTTTTATTCAAAGCAACTTCTTTGTTAGTTTTGCCTGTAACTTTTGAGGCTGCTTCATTTGTTCTTGAAGGATGATTTCATTTTTTGCCCATACATGCATGCTTCTGTTTGCCTGAATTTCTTTCTTTTTATTGTTTTCTTCCTCTGTACTCCCCGAGCTTTTCTCTACTTCTATGGCCTTCCTCAGCAGAAGTTCTCTGATTCTGGCATCTTAAATCTTTTTGTAAGACCCAATTCTGGAATCCCAAAAGTGTGTTTATTGACTACAGTGCATCAACCCGCAAGACTGGTGTATCACCCAGTCCCAGGAATACCTGTGCAATGAAGGGTAAAAATATTCTAATGTTTGTGGTTATTGTTTGCTATAGAAGAATATGGTTGTCTCAGCACTTGCTCATATTTGAGCACCTTAACGTTGTATTTCCTGGTTTTCCATGGCTTTTTCTTGTTTATAAGGTTTGTCTAACAGTTTGTTACATTACATTAAGTTACAGACACACTTTTCTCAACATTTTTAGCAAAGATTTTGAGTTGGGGAATTTCCTTAGGTTTTTTGTTTAGCTTTAAAAACAAGAAATATTTCAAACTTGCCTACGGAATCCCTGATGAACAGGTCAGGAAACCTTGTGTAGGTCACAACATTCTGTACAGTAATGGGACCACTAAACACTCTTGTGGAGATAAGAAGCTGTGCCTGGTTCTGGCTTCCAGGTCAGCCTTTTCATTAAGTAGCTTCTTACTGTCTTTGTGATCTCTTAAGGACAATAGTTTGATTCCTGCTCTTCTTTGTTAATGAGGACCGTAGACTCAATGGCATATTTTATTGAGGTTAATCGAAACTCTGGACTTAAGAAGCCCTGCAAGGAAGTACATCTGAAATAGGAAGCAGGATTCAAGGCATGGAGGCTGTGAAATAAAGAGCAAATAGCTTGGTTAAATTGGCTGGAAGCAAGAGATGCCAAAGGCCTGCAGGATTCAATGGGGATAGCCCAAGCTGAGAGTAGGAGGAAATGCTGAGAAGTTCAGATGTCAATAATGTTACAGGAAAACTGTCCAGTTTCCTTTGAAGCGTGGCTCTGATGTGCTGCTGCTGGTGGCTACCACCTGCTTTGAATTTCTTGTTTGAATAAAGGCACATTGTAATAGTGCTATTAGAAGTTCCGTATTCCATGATTTATCTATCTTTAGCCATGTTATGTTTCTCTTCTCTTCCCTAGAATGAAAGAAATTGTGTTATCAGAAAAGATACAGTGTGTACCCTGTGGGAGTGTGATAACTCTGCCACCTACTTCTTAGTGTAGGTGGAAGTATGTGTAGAAGATGGGAGGGCAGGAGCTAAATCTGCATAATTATTTTCCTTCATGGAAAAGTGGAAAGATTCTGCTGCCTGTGTGCTTCTCCATGCAAGATGCTGAAGATTCTATTGCGTATGCGACATTTGAAGGTGAAAGTGATGAAAAAGCTAAGATCTGTGTTCTGTTGCCCCTATAGCATGGGTGGGCAATAATTTTGATGGCAGAGGTCCACTCCAAGAATTTGGTAAATGATCAAGGGCTGCAGTTTTCTGTGATATTAATGGAGGTGGTGTGTGGTCTGAGACGTATTGGGTTTCCTGGAAGAGGGTTGCAGAGTCTGGGAGGGTGTTGTGCATAGAGTGCAAGAAGGTGTGCAGAGGGTTTGGGTTGTGCGGTGTGGTAGGAGTGCAGGGAGAGTACAGGAGTTTGGGTTGTAACCTGGGGCAGCAGGTTGGGATGCAGGAGGGGGTGTCAGGTGAAGGCTTTGGGCTGGAGGTGCTTACCCTACCTGGCTCCCAGCCAGCAGCCCAGGGGGGCCCATGGGCAGGCTCCCTGCCTGCCTCACCCCCACACTCTACTCCCAAGTGTCCAACAGTTGGGGCCAACATCTCTGCACGGGAAGAACGAGGGGCTCTGTGTGAACTGCAAGGATTGTGCTGGGGGTAGGGACAGGGTGTGAAGGCATCCCCTTCCAGGGACTTGTGCCACTCAGACACATGCTGGCCCTAGCAGCTGGCACTTTGAGCAGCATGGGGGGCCTTGGCATGCAGGAGGTATTGCTGCCTGAAGGTATTGCTGGACCACGGGACATTGCTGGCCCAAAGAATCTAGGCAGGCTGAATCCGGATGTTGTTTGGGCCAAGGGCTGTATTTTTGCCTTCACCTGCTCTATGGGGATCCTATTGGAAGAAGGCTATTAGAGAGTCAGAAGAAAGAGGACAGTTAGCTTCTGTGTATGAGCAAGTCCAGTAACCTGTGAAATGAGAACTCTCTTCTCACATATAGTCTTCCACACTCTCCTGGTTCATCTCAGTCAATAAAATTGCAGCATGCAAATTGACTGGAGAAGAAGGATGACAATAAGTTTTCATCTCAGATATCACAGCACTACTGAAGAGTGACTTGAGCTATTGACATGGTCCTAATTATAATGTTAACAGTCGTGAACAGCATTTTTTTAACAGTTTAACTTAGTGACAAAGTTATATTTTTAAATGTTGTATATTTTCAAGCTTTCAGTGAAAGGATGGAAAATTAGAATTATCTGTATGATTTCATTAAAACTGTTCAAGGAAAAAATCATTAATCAAATGACCTAGAAAGTGCAATTGTCCTTTCAGCACCATTCTACCAATTTTATAAACAGATTAAAAAAAACTGAAGGGGGAGGAAGCTTTTACTCTAGCCTTAGGAACAATCACAGTGCATCATTATGTTCTAATATAATTACATATGTTAAGATTGTTACCTAATGAAATCAAAACTATTCAATGACCTTCACAGACAAAGCCTCCTGCAGATAGTCCGTAATGTTTCAGTACTCTTCCTGCAGAGATGTTACATGTGTCAGTGATGTCCTACTGTTTTGTCAGTAGATTCTTTTCCAAATCATAGAAATGAGAACTGTTTAAAAAAAAAAAAAAAAACCCTAACCCGCTAAGCTATATTCCATTCTTCCTTTCTGTTATAGAATTATTCTCTCAAGGCAGTGACTGATTATTAACAAACCTTAAAAACCACAGCTGGAAAGGTTAAAAATACCACCATGGGGATAAAGTAGGAATAATAATAATTTAATCAAACATACAAAGTGGCTAACTTTGTCTAGAGAAAAAGCCTTCTTTAAAGCTTTTATAGAATTATCAGAGCTTCAAGTGAAAGTCAACAAATCACATGCACAGAAAAACATCACTGACAGTTGATGGGAGAAAATGTGGTCTCATTGTAATAGAAAGCAATTGTAACAGAATAAAAACTGCATCAAGTTTAATTTATACTGCACCACAGTATGTAGGATTTTTTTCTTTAGCAGAAATCTGAGTTTAGTGTGTTCTCTTTTGTGAAACATAGTTTGTTGGAATATTTCATTTTTCTAAATGCTCACAGAAAAGCTTTGATTGCCTGAGGAATATGAGGTTGGTGCACAAAGCTGAGGCAATGTCAATACAGCAGAGTCTTTAAAGTTTTTCATTGTTGATAGTAACATTGATGATTATATTGTAAGGGTGTTTAAAATTATGTGAAAAAACATGTCAGTAAGCCACTTTGGGATCTATATTAGGAAGCACTCTGGTAGACCCTTGTGTGTAGTGTTCAGCCTTTCGTTTTCAGCCTACTAATTCTCTTATTTGAACTTGGTTTTTTTTTTTTTTTAAAGGGAAAATAGGAACCAAATCAGCTTACATTTTTACACTGGAAAATGGGTTAAAAGTGGTTGGAAGGTTAACAAACTCCCCTTGAAAAGGTAGCTTGCCGCTTTGGGAGAAGGTGCAGTTGAAAATGTAACACCTTTTCTCCTTCCGTCTCAGTGCCACCCAACGGCTTGACTGTCCGTCCCCATAGCATGACCATCTTTGACATCACCCGCTTTAAACTGCCCCTTCACCACACTAAACATGTTTTTTCTCATAACTGTCGATGTGCGACTATGACAGCATAAAAAAGATCCATTCAGCCAATCAAAATGCAGCATTGGGCAACTAGTGTTCCAGCCAGATTCTGGTATAGATTATTTGCATGCCTGAATTTAACTCTATTTAGAAATTGTGTTTCCATAAACCTGTATTCTCTTTTGAATAAAAAGTAACCTAAAAACATGGCAGTGTTCATGTAACCTAAGTTACTAGGCTTTGGAAGCATGGCTTCATAAGAACATCTGCACTTGAATGGAACAATCATATTTTTTTCTAAAGATTAAAGTTACCTAAGAATATAAAACACAAATAAGATAGAAGAACTTCCCCAGATGCAAAGTTTCGCTTGATTCACTTGACTGTTAATGGAAATTCATTTTAGAACAAATTAAATGAGACCAAAGGTAAGTCATTTAACTTTACCTGGCACATTTTGTGTGTTAAATAATATTGTGTGGATCAAACCAGTATTTATACCTTCTTGACAGTGTGTTCAATATTGCTGCTATGAGAGTAGAACACTGAGGTTGATTTCAACAAGAGCTAGAATAGCCTGTAAAATTAAATACATTCTAATAGTGTGGTGGATTACATTAAAAAATTATTAACACATAATAGAACTATCAGATGGCTGAGTTTGATCTTCATGTTTAAGTGTATACAGTCCCTCATTTTTTAAAATTTCTAGAACAATGGTTCCCAACCTGTGGTCTGCAGACGCCAGTGGTCCGTGACAATACTGTGTTGCCCCACCGACCCTTGAAAGTTCTTGAAGAGAGAACAATTTGATGATGGTCTGAAACCATGGGGTTAAGAGAAGGGCTGTTGTGTGCATCATTTCCCCAGTTCTTCACCTCTTAAAACTCATAAGTTAAGCATATAAGAGTGCTGTTTCTTCCCCTTTCCTCTGTAAGAGCTTTTCTTCTTTCATCCCAGGGTATTGGTGGGTAGCTCAAAGGGTATGTTTATAGTGCAAAACCCAAAACAAAATAAATCCTAAATGTGGCAGTGATCTCAGAGTGTGGGTCTACTGACTTGTGCTTACACTGTGTGCTAAAAATAACAGTGTAAATGTTCACTCCGAGGCTGATGCTCAGGCCCTGAGATCCACCCTTCCAGGTTCTAGTACGGAATGAGTAGAAATGTTACACTCCTATTTTTAGTGTTGTAGGTCAAACCTGAGTCTGAAGATCTACTGTGGTGGCTTTTTTGGCTATGTATGTGTAACCTAAGTTATTAAGATATGGAAGCATGAAAGAGTCATCCTACAGTCTTAGATGGTTTGACATGTAACCCTAATTCTGTGTATAACTTTGCTCATCAGGCATATTTAGGATCTCAAGCTTCCTTCCCTTTTTGTGTAGTTTTGTGAAGCAGAGAACATATAAAACATTCCCCGTTCTTCCTCCAAATCAGGGGCGGGGAACCTATTTTTGGGTTGAGGGCCACTGACCCCCAGAAAAAAGTCAGGAGCTGCACCTAAGTGATAAGGAAACCTCCCAATCCTCAATGACATGGCCCTGACTGAGAAGCAGAAAGACACTCCCCACATCTCTCGCACCCCAGAACCTAGGGGTGCCCTGGCTAGTAGATTTTGTATGCTCCATTCCTGTTGTGGGCTGGAGTGCTAGTGTGGGCTCCCAGTGCTGGGGTCGGGAGCCCCAAGCCTCGGAGTTTGGATCCAGGCCTTAAGTTCCCCACCCTTTCTCCAAACCATCCTGGCTGGCGGGGGGAGAGACGGGGAGGAAGGGAGGTTGTCCCACTAGTGAACTTGCAGTGTTTTCCATTCCCTGGACAGCTCTTGCTCACACAGAGAATAATTTGACTTACAATATTTAGGTAACAGTTGATTTCCCCTCACCCCCATACATATAGATAATTATTTGTTTTTTTGGTCATGTTTTCTTGTGGGGTTTTTTTAGACACATTTGTTGTAAAGCATATTAATTCAGTTCATTTTTTTAAAAATCATTGTTCACAACCATTTAATGCACTCGAAATAAAGTTTACAAAACCAATTGCATATTATTTTGCTTTAAGACAGTAAATGAGAAATGCAAAACAGCTGAAGCCCAAAATATTTGGGATACTATATAGAAACATTATTGAAATTATATAAAAAAAAATTCAATGAGGACAGTCATATGTTAACAAGAGGAAACCACAAAGGGAAAGTGACAGTGTGTGGTGGGCGAGGGTGAGTATAGTGTGGGAGGGGCAGAGGTGCTGGTCATGGTCAGCAATGTGTGAAAAAGTAAACAAATTCTGTATTAGTATTAATAATGTTCTGTTTTATTAAAACAGTTTAAAAGCCATTATTTTTAAACAGTAGTTTCCTTTTAAAGTGTATGAAGGACTGGTTGACTCTAGACACCAATAGTGGACTTTAGAACTCCAGACACTAATAGGACTTTTTTCTCAGTCTCCAAAGTGAATCTGACCCATGTTGTTGTGGACTGGTAGTTCCAGTGTGTCTCTCTCTGTCTCTTTGAAATAAGTTTGGTGTCAGTCTAGTTCCAAGTGGATAAATATCCTCCTCACGTATACCACAATTGTAATGGGTGTTTTTGGCAGCCTTTTCAGAGAAGCCCAGGATGGAACTCCCCTTTTGACACATTGGTGATCTTTTCAGGGAGGCTTTGAGGCACACGGGGAAAGTGTATGACATTATTCTGCAAACATTTTATGTAATCAGATGCTGCTTTTGTAGTGCCTTACTGGATATACTTTATTGCATTAAAAAAAAAGGATTTCTCTTATAGCGAGGAGTGGATGACACATGTTGTGAGTGCTCTGAGAATGGAAGGCGAATATTTTTAAAACTTAGCTTTTTGTCATTACAGGTACTGCATTTTTTTAATATATAATACTCTTAAGATGTAATAAAACAAGTGGCAGCAACAAACAAAGCATTTTGATCTGCCCCAAATACCTATTGCTTAGTAGGTAAACCAACATGTTAATATCTTCATGGATCAGTTTCATTTATCAGTCATGTATCAGAGGGGTAGCTACGTTAGTCTGAATCTGCATGAACAATGAGAAGTCCTGTAGCACTTTACAGACTACCAGTTTTATTGGAGTGTCGAGGGGCAGGCAGCCCCTGTTTTGGGGCATACTTTAGACCTGCTAGGCCTGGTTCCAAAGTACGATGCCCCTGTCTTAGGGGAAATACGGCCCACTGGCCAAGTCTTTTATGCATAGGCTCTGCGGCCTAGTCCTTTAAATGATCCCCCACTCGACGGGGGTCTGGGAAGGAGGGGTAGGGGGGCCCGGGCCCTCCCTCTCCACTGGGCCCTGACCCAGGGCCCTATCAGTGGCGGGTGGCTCTCACCCCTGGTTCAGTGGGGAGACCTTCCCGAAACGCACCAAGACTGCTGGGGCTTTTCCAGCTCCCCACCCTGGGTCGCTTCCTACCCCCTTCCCGCGGCCTGCAGCGGTCCCACAGTCAGGCAGCAGTAGCTGCGTTTCCCAACCCAGCGTCTGGGGTAGCAGCGGCAGGTGGAACGACTGTGTCCAGGGAGGCTGTACAGTGGCTCTGGCGTTGGGGTCGAGCCCGGCCTGGACCTGGCAACGGCAAGATCAGCCTGCCCGGCGCCCCTCTCTCTGGCTGTGGCTCTGGAGGTTTTGCCCTAGCTCCTTCTCCTCCAGAGGTCAGCCCCAACTGCGCAGTTCTGCAGCTCTTTATACCTGGGCTGCACTGGGAGCATGCCTGGCAGGGCTGCAGGGGTGGGGCCTTCTCAGCCACCTGGGCCAGGTGAATTCCATGGGTTTGAGTGCGGGGCGGTGCCACCCTGTCACATGGAGCATAAGCTTTTGTGGGCAAAGACCCACTTTGTCAAATGCATGCCACGGCCCACAAAAGCTTATGCTCCAATAAATCTATTAGTCTAAAGGTGCCACAGGACTTGTTATTTATCAGTGATGTAAACAAGCTATCTGTTTGGAACCTGATCAGTAAACAAAAGTCTAGTATTTTGTTGGAAATAACAGAGCACCATATACAGTAAAACTCCAATGGTCTGGCATCTGATGGTCCGGTACTCCTGATGGTCCGGCACCATCAGGAACCGGGAAGTGCTCCGGGCAGCCGGACCATTGGAGCTGCTCTGCTCCCAGGTTCCCTGATTCAGTCGCTGCTAAAACCGAACGAGGTTCAGTCTGTTTTTGTCTTTTCTGTGTGGAGTATCAGAAGCTCATTGATGTCCAGAGAGCAAAGTCTCCTTTCCTCATTGGAAGCATGAGGTTTTAAGGAGGAAAAACAGTGAGTGGATAGGTCGATTAATGTGAAATTCCAAAATTATTTTGGGGACCAATTTTGGGTGAAGGAAAATTTTTCTTTATGAAACGTTGCACAGGGCATGCCAGCCCTGAGCATTCCTACTTCATTCACCCTCCTAGGTGATGGCAACTAAAATGTAACCATCATGGACAGGTGAGGCATAGAACATGTGGCCAAGGTTCAGACATGGTTTGGTAAGTAGAAATTAATTATTAAGTAATTAAGTATTAATGTGTTATATATAGTATTACATTATACTAGTAGTATTATTGTAGTAGTACAGTAAACTTCCGATAATCTGGCACCTTAAGGACCCAGGGGGTGCCAGATTATCAGCAGAGCCAGACTATCGGAAGGGGGTGCTATGAGGGGTCTGGGGAGGCATCCCCCCCACCCCACCCCAGTCCCCTCATAGCCCCCCCTACTGATAGTCCAGCAAATCTGATAATCCGGCACCCCCTGGGTCCCAAAGGTGACGGATTATCGGAAATTTACTGTATGTAAGTTTGTTCTCAGCTGTTTCCTGGAAGAAAAATTAACATTGCAGAGATATTTTGTGTTGTAATAGAGTCTTTTGTGGGTCCATTCAGTACAATTTCCCTATATCTTTAATTGCTTGTTTATAGTAGAAACTAAAAGCCCCTTTATAGATTAGAGGAATGTAATCCTGTAATCCCTCAGTATTTTTCCCATTACAGCAACGACATCACACGATGAGACAAGTTTGAGCTAATTGGCCGGAGGTGGTTCCACTAACAGTTACATTTAAAATAAATTCCTGCTTGGGTA